AGTTGTCTTCTTTGCCTCAAGAGAAAGACGCTGCACCAAGTCCGTCAACTCTTCGAGACTCTCNGGTCCTTCAGATCTGCAATAATCACCTCCGCTACACCCTCTTTTTCCGCTACACGCAACCATGTCTGCACGGCTTCCATGGAAGCCCGGGTTGGCGTTGCCCCAGGTGCCAACCCCAAACCCTTAAGCGCCTCGCCAAGGTCTTCATCGACAGTTGTCTTCTTTGCCTCAAGAGAAAGACGCTGCACCAAGTCCGTCAACTCTTCGAGACTCTCCTTCTTGTTGCGGATATTCTTTCCCACGCCCTGGTCGAGGTTCGCGTGCACCGCAGCAGGAAGGATGTCACAGTTCCTCCAGCACCTTGGAAACGATGAATAGTCAAAGTACGCGGGAAGGAGAGAGAAACGTGCACGGCGAGAACAGAAAAAAACAGAACGAGCCGAACGAGAAAAAGCATTTTATCATTTTTTCAATTCAAACAAGACTTGCAAGATGATGGCGTCAGTCAACAATTTCGTCAACGTGCAATATTCGTGGTAACGGCATGTGTCTAGAGGGGGGAAATTATACAGCAGTCATTGAATAATGTCGTTAACACCACCACACGGACACACCTCTTGATTGTCTCCGGCAAAACTTCCTTCCACGCCTCGAGGCCTAGCTCAGCTGCGTCCAGGATGTGAGGCTGCGCTCCTTCCGCGAGCCCCATGCAGCCCCGAATCACCTTGCGTTCCTTCGCCTGCTCCCGTAGCTGCGCCGCCGACGTCATCGTGTCGACGCGAATCCCCAGCAGCCTCGTCCTACACCGCACTTTCCAGGCTGCGATGATCCCGGCATTCATGGGCTGGTGCTTGCTCGTGCAGTTGGGTGGCAGCTCAAGAAGCTTCACCTGCTCCTTAGGGTCTACGAAGTCGGCGTGGCTACGGTGGTTGTCCATGATGAGAAGAACCTTCTCGCTGGTGACGGAGCGCACGTGTGGCAGGAACACTTGCGACCACCACACCTTGAACATTCGCGCGTCCGACCACGCGTTCTTCTGGCTGAAGTACTTGATGGGTGAGCCCCGGATCTTGAAGCACCGGGGCTCCTTGGCTGTGCCGATAAAGGACAGCGGCACCTTACGCCTGCTGGCGCTCGCAGCCATGTAGGCGGTGACTCGATCCTTCGCTTTCATACCTTTCACGCCTCGCACGGTCTGCTCGAGCTCTGATGGTGCGAGGTATGTAGCCTTGGGCATGATCCTGTAGCACAGCCCGGTTTCGTCGGCGTTGTAGACGCATTCTGGGGCATACTGAGCGCACGTCTCGCGGATTACTCTGAGGCGATCGGCGATGGCTTCGTCGTCGACGCTGCCTGCTTCGCCGTGGAGTGTACGGGAGTGCAGGTTGTTGCGCTTGACAAACCTCTTTACCTCTTTACCCACCCCTCGGACGCGTTGAAGCCGCTGTACTGCATACGCTCGGCGTCCGTAGATGCTGCGTTCTCGAGAGCACGACGAGCTTTGCGCCCGAATGCCTGGATCGCGTCCCGGTTGACAGGCATTCTCAGTGCCCTCGCCTGCAAAATTTCCATAACCGCTTGCTCCACCTGAAGAAAATAGGACATAAACGGATTTAGCAGCTGTAGTGTTTGCACTGCTGTTACTGCTCTGCTGTACAATATCATTTCATCCTACAGCAAATACTGCACGGCATGATACAGCGTACCTACGCCACAGTAGCCGGTTGCTGAGCAAAAACGGCCACAAACATACTCGGACTTTACCTACTGCTGCTGCTGTACACAAGAACTGTTAATAAACTGCTGTACACGACCCCTGCTTGTACAAGAAAAAATCAAAATTCAGCAACAAAATCAAAATACACTCGGAATTACTGCTGTACTGTGCTGTGTACTGCTGTACAGCAAGCATAGCTGAGCACCCACCTTCGCAAACTCAGCCCCCTTCGTAGACTTGGCGCCGGGCATGGAGACTGCTGCCTGTTGTCTGATGTCTGCTTCCTTAGCTCTCCACCCGTTCAAGGTGCTCACCCCGATCCCCATATCCTTCGCGATTGCTACGCCGCTCATGCTCTTCACAAGGTCGAGCGCCCGAACCTTGTCTTCGAGCGTCGGTCGTTGCGGTTTTCGGCGCTACGAACTTTCCAACGTGCGGTGTTGCCAACGGGTTTCAAGCTGCCCAGTGCACCCGNACCGTACAAGATGCTCACCCCGATCCCCATATCCTCTCGATTGCTACGCCGCTCATGTCGAGCGCCCGAACCTTGTCTTCGAGCGTCGGTCGTTTGCGGTTTTCGGCGCCACGAACTTTCCTACGTGCGGTGTTGCCAACGGGTTTCAAGCTGCCCAGTGCACCCGCTCGCTTCTCCTTCCCCGTTGCCCGCCCGTCCGGGCAGGGGCGCCTCGAAGATGCAGCCCCAGCAGTCGAGTCTGTGCTTGATTCCTTGCGGTTGCTCGAGTTGACACATCCGTGGCAAACACGGTGCATCTCGTTGTCGCCAAGCGGGTCATGCACACCGCTCAGTCCATGAAGGTAGCCTCCGCAGACACGGCATAGGTGGTTCGTAAACAGTGGGGGGCAGGGTGTGTGATCCGGCGTTGCCAGGTAGCGAGAACCCGCGGCGCAAGGCATCCGTGGGAGCTGTGTGTCTCGCTAGCTATGNTCTTGCAGTTGCTCGAGTTGACACATCCGTGGCAAACACGGTGCATCTCGTTGTCGCCAAGCGGGTCATGCACACCGCTCAGTCCATGAAGGTAGCCTCCGCAGACACGGCATAGGTGGTTCGTAAACAGTGGGGGGCAGGGTGTGTGATCCGGCGTTGCCAGGTAGCGAGAACCCGCGGCGCAAGGCATCCGTGGGAGCTGTGTGTCTCGCTAGCTATGATGGCCTACTGCTGTACAGCTGCTTGATCTGCTGCAGTGGGGGGCAGCTGGTGGGCTATAGGCGGTGGGGGGTGGGGGGGCAGGTTCGGTTTAAGAGAGGTTTAGGATACGTTTAAGAGATTCGGGGTTCGGCTTAAGAGAGGAGTGTGTCTAACAATTTCGACCTCTCTAAAATCGGCAATTCTCTTAAGCTGAGCTCTCTTACATAAACCGTAGCCCCCACTGGCTTGTACAAACCACTCGGATATTGTTGTCGTTGTTGTTTCTCACATTAGCTCTATATATAGTCCACAAAAAATGTGGAGCCCGTGGTCTCAAAACCCGGCACATACGACGCCGCGGGGAAACAAAACAAAAATAGGGTGCAAACCACTCGGAATAGAAAACAAAATGATGGAAAGAAAAGAACAGGTATCGCACCGACCATTCGAGAAAAGAGCCCTCGGAAACCGATCAAAATGAAACAAAAAAATAAATAAATCTACACAACAAGGTAAATATGTTCTACCGCGCCGCACATGCCCCCATGCATCACACACAAACAATAAGTTGACGAAAATATACACACCCCGAGACGCGCTTGCTCCGTAACCACATAAGGTCCTATAATAGAACACCCGACAAACCGAGTTCCCCTAAATCTTCCGTCTACAACTTCCCAACATAACATACACAAGATGGCTACCAAACTACCTTGTTGAGCCTGTTACCCACAGGGGAGTTATCGTTGTATGTTGTCTGGGAGACCGTAGACATACAGGTAGCCTTTCGCTCACGCTATGGATTCATTGTTGTTGTTGTTGTTGTTGTCTTCACATTAAACCGTATGTCAGTTGCCAAATGCCAAAATCTAGCAAAAGACTCTCAGCCCGTGGTCACGAAAGCGCTAGAGCCATCTGAGGATCTAAAGAACACGCACACATATAACGAGAAAAAGGTATCCAAGAGCCCGAAGAGGTACACCTTAAAATCCCTGCAGCACCGTATGCGTGCCCAAAAACTGAACTGCACGTCCGTCCCACCGTTCGACTACAGTAGCATCACCCCCTCCCTGTCCCACTCTATACCAAAACGGAAGATTGCCGACTACAGCATACTGCTGTCTGAAGTGCCGTCTGTACAAAAACACCATGGTAGGCATGGAACAAGCAGCTGGCGGGGCACAAAGCTGCTGTCTGAAGTGCTGTCAGAATGTGTCTGCGGCCGTACAGTGAAAAAGAANCCCCCTTCGCTACAACCCATGTCTAAGCAAAAGCTTGTCGGGGAGCGAGGGGAAGAAGGGAGATATATTGCTATTATATATTATATAGTCTATCTTAGACATATTTCTATGGATGGAGATTGTAATGCATGAGAGGTGGTTTTTCTATCACAGCATCCACACCTCGGATCCACCACCCAGTCGTGCAGACCAGACCTTCATGAAAAAATACGTGATCTGGGGCAGCGAAATGTCACACTTCACATGATGGACGCTAGAAGCAAACAGATAGGTAGTGGTACGCGTTCGGGTAAACACACCCGGTACCCGATGGTCCAAGCGAACCTCCGTAAGTCATTGGCCTCTGGAAAAAGGTGCTTGTTCCCGTTTCCCAATGTCCAGGGCCCAGTGCAAGGGCACACTCCGCATGTTGTTCTCACACCAAACCTTTCATATTTCTACCAGTACACTGCTGCAGGTTTCGTCACTCAACATCCGCTACTGATGAAGGTGTTACAATCACGCAGGGTTAACCCTTACCACTGGCCACCACTGCGGTACAGCCCCAATCATAATAGATAAGTGTACGGAGTAACCAACGCCGTGCATCCTTCAACGTACACTGCTCTCTAGAACACTCAACATCTTTAGTTTCGATGCATCGATGTACAAAAGTGTGCTAACCCTTACCACGAGCCCCAGCCAGTGGGTGCATACAGCCGACGCATTTATTGGGAAGCCAGTGGGAATTGTGTGTGTTGGGCAAGTGCAACCACCCCCTATCGACCCCACCTCCCAGTCTTCACCACGCAGCAGCAAACCTACTTGTAATACTTCCGCAGACCCCGATCAGCCGAAAAGCTTATCCTCTTGCCAAGCCGCCTGCAGATAGCATATGTCACACGGAACGCACCTCTCTCGCTCTGATTCTCCCTCCCACCCTCATGTCCTGGCACCCCTCATGGATGCCGCTGCTGCAGTAGCTTTTAGCGTGGTTCGACACCGCCCGCCAGTGGTCGGTTGATTTCGCAGTTTTTTTTTTTTTCTTAATATGACACAACGAGTCCATCTCTATCTATAGAAAAGAGTCAGAGACAGATTAATGGAATCATAGCGTCAGAGAAAACTACCTGTGTGTCTGTTGTTGTCTTCAAATTAAACCGTATGTCAGTTGCTAAATGCCAAAATCTAGCAAAGACTCTCAGCCCGTGGTCACGAAAGTGCTAGAGCCATCTGAGGATCTAAAGAACACGCACACATATAACGAGAAAAAGNGTACAAAAACACCATGATAGGCATGGAACAAGCAGCTGGCGGGGCACAACTCTGCTCTCTGAAGTGCTGTCAGAATGTGTCTGCGGCCGTACAGTGAAAAAGAACAACCAACCAAAGCCATCACAGCAGCAATTGACAATCGCCCGAATCTCTCCCGATCGTCTGTGTTAGGCACTGCAGTGAAAAATATCGACACTAGCTAAGAATCGTTCCACATTGAAGGGGTCTTCCACGATCAGGCACAAAACCAATGCACCCGGGTTAGCCACGCCATCTCTGACGGGTCTCTCTACAAAACCGGTGACGACGGCATCAAACAACACCAACCACGGGAAAGTTAGGCCTGTCCTCCATCGGCCGCGGCCGAAAGAGCCGATTTCTTTTTTTATTTTTCTTAATATGACACAACGAGTCCATCTCTATCATAGA